CTCTTTGTATACTTTCCATGCTTCTAATCGCATATTTCTTTTCTGTAATTGGCCACCATACTAATACACCGTAAGTTATCATCAGCCTTACAATTGCTGTGTCCAGCCAGTGAGCTACCCGAGGCGTCAGTCCCCATCTGGGCCCCACCATTCTTTTACACGTGTAAAGCGCTGTAGCTGCTTTCTTTACCCTCGCTTCCAAGTTTTGTTTCCAAGAAAGCTTCCTGTCCAAAATTAGTCCCAAGTAGCTTGGTTTATCTCCTATCGTTAGCATGGTGCCATTTAAAAATGGCGGCGTGATTTCAGGAGTATCTGTTCATCTGTTCAATTAATTTCCGGAGAGGCTCAGAGATGTCCAACCCTTTAAACGCGCTCTATATGGCCTTCGGCTGGATGTTATTGAAAGCACCTTTTATGTCTAGGAAGACTACGAGGGTGTATTCTTTTATTTCCAGAGACTTTTCAATCTCTGTTACCACTGAGCTTAATGGCGTGTCTGTGGATTTACCCTTAGAGTACGCATGCTGCGAAACTGCCATTTTTCCTGGGTTTAGTTTGCCCCTTATATGTATTTCTATTAGTCTCTCCAGCGTTTTTAAAAGAAATGATGAAAGACTAATTGGTCTAAAATCCTTTGGATTAATGTGTGAGCTTTTGCCAGCTTTGGAATATATATCACCTAGACTTCCCTCCATATCGAGGGAATATACAGCAGTGCATGGTTGTTAACCAGTTTGTTGTGTAGCTGTAACTGAGCCGGAAATAATCCGTCTGGTCCCGACATTTTATCAGGCTTAAAGCTGCCTATAGCCCAATAAACATTACGATCTGACACTATGTCTAGCGGAGGGGACTCTGAGCCCACTTCACTCTCCAGTATATGCTCCCTTATGTGGTTCTCGGAACTGTTTGGGAAGTGAGTATCCATTAGTATGCCTAGAGTCTCTTCACCGGATACCGTCCAGCGGTGGTCTGTCTTCTGAAGGTATCCGATGCCATGTTTTGACTGTGTCATTATTTTTCTAAGTCGATTACAAAATGATGTCCACGAATTTCTTTTTGCCTTTCTTACCTCCTTTTTATATATACCGTAGGAGGTTATAATCGTTATCCCACTCTCTATCTTTTTGGGATAATTTGGCAAAATTGAATTGCTTCCTGCATGTTCTTAAGTATGGGAGACCACCAAGGGGGCCTAATTCTTCCCCTACTGTTCGTTAATGGACAAGCTACCTCTAGTGCTTGACGACAAGAACCTGTGAACTGTTTAACGAGGATGTCACTTTGTTTTCTGGTTGAAATGGTGGAATCATAGGAATACGGTTTTTTAGCTTCTACATGTACATCTGCCAGTTCGTTTTCCTATGATTCCTAAATTTCTCTTCCCTAACTACATTCTCTTCAATTATACACTCAATGTAGCGGTGATCTGAGAAGGAATGTTCCTCCAGTACCCTCCAATGTGTTATTTTATCCACCAGTTCTTCCGATACAAGTGTTATATCTAATTTTCTGTCGGTTTCTGGTTATAACTGTTGGCGTACTACCTTTGTTGTATAATAAAATCTTACTTCCTATTAAATAATTAAAGAGCAACTCACCCCTTTCATTGTTGTCCGTTCTGCCCCATAGTGTGTGGTGTGCATTGGAGTCGCACCCAAGTATAATCAAACACTTAGATGCTTCGCTGTCTCGTACCAGCTCTTTGATCAGCTGCGATGGTACTGCTACTTCTTCATACGGCATGTAGCATGATGCCAGCCGGTATTTCTTTCCGCCCGTCTCCCAGCTTACTACTGTAGTGTCGTTACTGCTGTAACTGTGTAATAAAAGACATCAAGCTTTTTACTAGCCAATATGCGTGTCCTAGCCTTACCTACGCAGCCATCCACATATAAATTATATCCCGGTGTCCTCAGACCGCAAATACGCCCTCCATTAATCCATGGCTCCTGAATGAGGGCAAAGTCAGGCTGTTCTTCTGCCATGCGGTTAACTAGGGCTAGAGACGCTAATTTGCTGTGGTGTAGATTAATTTGGAGAAGACGCATTAATTAGTGTCTTCTCTGCGTCTTCTTGAGAGTCGCTTAAAAGCTCACTCTCAGTGTAAAGTTTAGAGTCTGTCTGCAAGCTCAGACCCCGAAGTACACTCACCTTGGTCAGTGTTCTCTACATCACTCGAGGACCTCATTGGATCTTCCTCGTCTTCGCATTCCGATTCCGATGCCAAGTTTTCTCCTGCATCGGCGTCTGACTTGTAGGTCATAACCTTCACTTTTGTGAATCCGCAGTTGATCTCTCCGCCACTTTTCGCTAGCGGTTCTAAGGATTGCTTTGTTAGAAGCCACAGAATCTTCATTGTTTCTCGTTTCGTCTCCACACCCGATTCCGCTGCGGGGTCATCGAAGGCCCTGACGTATCTCCATCCCCCAGTTGGCAAATTCGAGTTACAGGCTCTAATGAGCTGCATTATCTGGTCCGGCTGCGATGGCGTAGCCAAGATCCATACCCTTGCCCTCGGTCGGCATGGGATATATTTTTTGTCTACCGCTACTAGCCTAACTCCGGGGTAGACCTCCCTCACCTTAGCTATTGCGGCCTTATATAGCTGGACCGATCTCTCGTCGTCACCCGCTATCATCATTATCTGACCCTGATACCATCTGGCATCCGTACATGACGAGGGTGGACCTGGATTGCTTAGTAGCACTTCCAACGCCACATTCATCAGTGCGGTTTGCACCAACTTCCATTGGGCTCTGGGGATTTTTCCTTCGGGGTCACCCTCATCCAGCACCCCAATAACAATGCGGTTCCGGCCACATCAGCAAAAGATTTTGCGGGCGTAACGCCCTTAGTCTTCGGTCTCTTAGCTGACGGCTTAGCCTCTTCAGCTAACCTTTGTCTCTTAGCTGCCACCACTGGCGCTTATAGCTTAAAGTTGGGTAAGACAGCTCTCGCGCAATCAATGGATTCCTGGAACTCTTTTGTGAGGTCCTCATTGGTTGGCGGTTGCAGCTACATCTTCTTCAGCATGTATGCAGCGCGTTGCTTCTCTGCATACTTTGCCTTCGCTGGGTCGTCAACCTTAAGGTAGGCTATGCTCTGGCTGACCCACTACTGGCAGCATCACTTTTGGCATCTCCCTCCTTCCCCTGCTTAGCTACCAAGCCTTGACTACAAGGGTTGGTATGGGCTGCCTCCAGTGCTGCTGCTTTCTTGGTGCCAGTATTGGCTTCTGCACCTTTGATGTTTGCCTTTGCTCCAGGAACAAGCTTCGCTCTTGTCCTCGCCTTGGCTCTTGTCGAGCTCGTGCCAAAGGCTGCTCTCATCTGGAAACAACTCGCTCCCTCCGGCCTTTTTAAAGGAGGTCCGGACTCCTTTTTGTTTTTATTTTATTATTTTAGCTCATATTTTGGACCCACGAGTGTAGGGGAAAGTATGTCCGCTTGTGCATAGCCCCCGCTACGCAAGTAAGGCTATCTTAATATGGAGGGCGCCAGGTATCCGTAAGCTCCGTGCGAGACTGGGCTATTTAAGGGCCCCCGCCAGGTTGATCTTCGGCACGGGTCGCATGACACCTTGATCCAGCCATTTACACACCTGCTACCATGGTAAGACCTCCTATCTGGATGCTGCACTTTGAAGAGTACCGAACACCCAGATAGGAAGCCTGACCTTAGCTAGATACCTCACTACTAAAACAGGGGCGAACTGCTGCCAGCACGTCCTTGTCTACGTCGTGAAACTGTGGTATCTATTCCCAGTCGGCACCCTCGTGGAGGGTTCAGCGGAGGATTTTGCCAACCAAAAACTCTCTCACCCTATCCCACACTAATTTCGATTCAGTCATAAGCCGCACTATGTTATCTGGTGTCACTCGTTCCATTGTCAGATTCTCTAGATCAGCTTTCTCGATTTCAAACCGCTAGCAAGAAAAAAAGATGCGCAGCAGGTTTTCTACGCTGCTGCCGCAGAAGGAACATTTCATCTTATCGTCATGGCCGTACTTGTAGAGATATTCTCTAATACAACCTTGCCCCGTCAAAAACTGTGTTAGATAGAAATCTGTTATCCTATATTTCCGCTCTACCCACGCTTGTACGCTTTTAATTATCCTGTGGGTCCCTCTCCCTGTTGTTGCCACATCCCATCGTTCCTGCCATTCAGTGAGGCTTGTTTGATTTTCATACACCAATGTTGGCAAATATTCTCGTTAGTCCGGCCGTTACACGTGCTGCTTTCTGACATACTTTATCGATGTGCGTCTTGTAGCTAAGTTTAGTGTCTATCAATACTCCTAGATACGTCAGCGACTGCTGCATCATGATACTATAGCCGTCTATATTTAGTTTGATTAACTCAAGTTTCGTCTTGCTTGTGATGAGCATCGCTTCCGGTTTTTACCCCGCAAGTTGAAGGTTTGTTGCTGTGAGCCATTCTTTGATCGGTGCTTCCACATGATTGCAAAGGTTCTCAAGATGGCCGTGTTTTTTTGCCACTATAGTTATGGCAATATCATCCACGTATCCGATAATCTGAACCTGCTTAATGAGTGGACCTTGTGGAACTCCTCCCGTTACCGCATATTTTATTTGTCCTTCATCCGTATCATACAATAACAGGCGATCATATAGATAACTGCTTATAATCTTAATTAAGTAAGTCGGTGTTTCCTTACGTTCCAGGGCACTTATGATATGGGTTAAACGCGTTTTTGACATAAAATGTGACCACAACCCAGTATTTCTTTGTGCTATACATCCATCTAGTTCCTTCTATTGCCTTGTTAGCTATATCAGTGAGCTTCTTCGATATTGGTTATCAGACAGACCCTTCTTCTCTTTCTTAGTACAACTCTAATCGTAAACATATTATTTGCTCTAGTATCTTGCCAATCGTATCCAGCATACAAAGCGGTCGGTATGAGCTGGGCTCTCCTGCTGGTTTATTTGGTTTCTGCAACAAAGGCAGTCGTTGCTTTTTCCACATTTTCGGGAAAGCACCACGTAAGCAATTCAGTAAATCGTCTCGCATTGCGTTTAATGGCAATATGTAAGACCTTATTTGGAATACCATCCACGCCTAGGGTGGTATGTTGTGTTGGATATTTAATTCTATGTACAAGTATTAATACTATAAAAATGAAATATTTAAATTAAGACTTAAGGTAAGAACATACTGAATTAAATTAAATCACCACCTTGAGGCTTAAGAGGAAATAAGAGCTTCCGCCCTAATTATTTTCCCCCAGTGTCATCGTTTGTTCTGCTTTGCTTTTCTTCTTCTTTACGCATTCGTTGACGTTTTTCTTCCATGAGCCGTTGCTCTTCTATCAGCGTTAATCGTTCTTCAGCCTAGAAAATAGAGTAATATCATATTTAGGAATATATTTATATAAAACAAGATTCAAATAAGTATATAAGAATATTTTGTAATAATAAGTCTGTAAACATTTTAAAAAACGTTTAATTTTTTCTTACTCATTTGTCGGAAAAGTTCTGCATTTAAGACAAAATATTTAGAAGAATTATCATGAAACGCTAATTTATTCAGATTTCAATAGCGTGCAACTTCCGCTGAAGAGTAAATTTAATAATACTGAAATATTTGAAAGTTTTAGTTTCTCCATATTTGATGAATTAAAATAAATAAATAGAAATAAAGATATATGTAATAATTGTTTTTCGTGAAAAAGTAAACACAAAACAACAAAAAACGTTAACTTCGTTAACCTAATCTATAATACACTTCACAGGTGCATTTCTAATAGCAACAAACTACATGTATGACCAAATATGAAATCTGACAGCCTAACCGACCAATGGCTTACAGCCAATCGAAAACGTTTTACTAATTCTTTCTAACCATATTGTTTGATATAAACCGCCTTAAGTCGAATTTAGGATCTTATAAGAAAAAACATCTTTTATAAAGATTTTTATCTTGCTTTTGATTGGACAGTTTTAATGGCTATAATGGTCCGATCTTAACAAATTGTTCGAAGATTAGAGCCTTATTTTGGGCAATAATATATGTAAATGTTCGTTAGGATATTCTGTCATATAAAAAAGTTTTTCAAACAAGAACTTGATTTTGATCGGTCAGACTGTATGACAGCTATATGCTATAGTCGTTCGATATCGCGATTTCGATAAATTAAAAGCTTCTTGGGGAAGAAGGACGTGTGCAAACTTCAGATCGATATCTCAAAAAGTGAGGGAGGAGTTCGCGTATATACACACAGATAAACAAACGGACATAGCTAAATCGTTCGTCACACTGATTATATGAATATAGTGACGCGGCAATATAGCAAAGCATCATATTCGAGTGTCCGAGCAATTTAAATTTTGATATTTCATGAGTGCAAAACTGTCAAAATCGGCATCAGAAAAATGTATGATGGAAAATTTAAAGTTAAGATATTGTTTATTTTAGTTTTTAATTAAAATAAAATATATATAATATATGTAAACAAAAAAAACCAAATAAGTGAAATTATTAATACATATAAACGAAAATGGCCAACCAAGTCCCGGCAACAGAGCTTATAAAGGAAGCCGCAAGGATTAAACCTTACTATGGCATAAACAAGGAATACGATCTCTTATCCTTCTTGAGAGAAGTCGAAATTATTCTTCCTCTGTTCTATAAGAACCCGGCGCTTAAACAATTCATTTTCGAGAGACACATCTGGACTAAAATTCAGAGAGCAGTGCTTAAGTCATTAGGAATAGGTCCATCTGCAACATGGAACGAAATTAAAGCGGAATTAATAAAAAACTTTTGAGTCAAGGAAACCTATCATGGCCTTTATAACCAAACCATTTGCACCAAATATACCAACGTGAGTAATTACTACAATAGTATAAAGTATATATTAGATAAATTAAATAATAAGTATGAATTCGACCAAACAAAACCTGTAGAGCTTTCTCCTAGCGTCAACGAATCATTAATTTTAAAAACATTTCTAAACGGCATAGATAAGGTAGCATCATTCATAGTAGGAACATAAATAATCTGAGGGAAGCCTATTATACACTCGAAGAAAAAGGGTTTAATTTCACGATACGATAATAACTACAATAGACAGTCACGTACCCTAATACAATTTAGGCAGAATTTCAGACCTTCAGGCCATCAAGATCAGTCCCAAGGGCAACACAGCCAACACTACTATAATTCAGGACAACGAGACCGTTCTTCTGGTTCTCAAGACAATACAGGCAAAATTATCATAACTCAGGACAACATGTTCGCTTCTCCAGGCAATATAGGCAACCCGATCAATTATCCAGACAAATGAGACATAATTTTTACATCGCACCAGAGCCGATGGAGGTAGACCACATCCAATAGACAAATTTTTAGCCACCCATCGACATGTCTACCGATAGTAGAACTCACTATAGGAAAGGTTAAAATTAGATGCTTGCTAGACAATGGCTCAACGACATCATTATTAAATAAATTCTGTTTACCACAATATAAGAGAATAAAGCTAGAAAATATTTTTACATTTAATACCTTAAGCCGGCAAACACAAGTTAAATACGAAATTATAACAGAATTACCGAAAGAATGTAATGACGAAAACTTAATGAGCTGGAAGCTCACAGATTTCAAAGCAAAAAATTTTGAAGAGATAATAGGTAATAATATCCTTACACCCTTAAAGGCACATATAAGCATCGAGGACGAATACCTCGAAATCAATAACATACGAACGAAATTCGTTGGTACATGCCCATTTAATATCAACGAAGTACATGCACTTGAAACAATTAATGCCGACGAAGAACTTTATAAAAAGTTAATTAGAGAGGATACGAATTCCGAGGAAGCAGAACACCTCAAAACTATCATATCAAAAAATAGTGATTTATTCTTTCAGGATGGGCAAAAACTATCGCATTCTCACACAATACAATACGAAATCGTTACAACAACCGATAAACCCATATATTCCGAAATATACAGGTATCCCCAAATAAACGAGCAGGAAATAAAAAGGCAAATAACAGAAATGGTATAATCACAGAGAGTAACTCCCCTTTCAATTCACCCTTGTGGATTGTGCCCAAAAAGTTATTATATATAAAAAAGTGGCGCATCGTTATTGATTACAGGAAACTAAACGAAGTTACGGTAGACGATAAATTTTCAATTCCAAACATCGAAACTATTCTCGAAAAATTAGGCTCAGTACTTCACGACACTCGACTTAGCAAAAGAACTTCACCATGACCGAAAGAAAACGGCATTTTCCACACCATTTAGGCATTATGAATTCAGAAGGATGCCTTTCGGATTAAAGAATGCCCCGCCAACCTTTCAACGATTAATGAATTCAATATTAAGAGATTTAATTGGCGTGATATGCGTCTTATACCTAGACGATATCCTAATATTTAGCATAAATAAAATTTTCGAAAGGTTGAGAAAATATAATTTAAAATTATAAATAGATAAATGTAACTTCTTCGCTAAAACAACAGAATATTTAGGGCACGTATTGACTACAGAGGAAGTTAAACCAGGCACAGCAAAAATACAGGATATTAAAAAACTCCAATTACCAAAAACACAGAGGCAAATAAAATATTTTCTAGGTATCACCGGATATTTTAAGAAATTCGTGAAGGACTAAGCAAAAATTGCCTACGGCTTTACTAGATATCTTAAGAAAGACATCAAAATAAATTTGAAAGTCCCACAATATGTCGACTCATTTGAAAAATTAAAAATCCTTTTAGTAAACCCACCATATTAATATACCCAGATTTACATAAAAAGTTGATAACTTCCACCGACGCAAGTAATCATGCTATCGGAGCTGTCTTACTCCATGAAAGAAGATATGCCACCTTAGAAAAAGAACTCCTAGCAATAGTTTGGCCAGTAAATTACTTTAGGCCTTTCGTTTGGCTTAAGTCCAAATACAATGGCAAATACATAAATTCGAGACTCCCGAGATGGCTTTTAAAATTGGGCGAATATGACTTTAATATATGTTATGTCAAAGGAAAACAAAATAAAGTAGCAGACTTTTTGAGCAGAATAGACGTAAATACTGGCGAAATAATGCAATATCTGATAACACAACTCATAACAATACCAATTAGGGTCCCTTATTAGAAGAAGACAGCATTAGTACCAATGCCACTATACATTCGCAAGCCGAGGAGCAAAACGACCATTTCCCCATCCTAGACACAGTAGTAAATCGTTTCCACACACAAATAATACTTACGCAACAAAAAAGTCAGGAAATAAAAATCATAACTTTAAAACGAAAAATTTGCTTAAATCAAGAAGATCTAGATTTAAAAGATGAGAATTTTCGAAATAGAAGAACCCAGACTGAGTACTCAAGAGAAAATGTTCAAAAGCTTAGAATGGTACAACAACTCTTTTCACTCAACTATAAAATGCAAACCAACCGAGGTTATAGATGGAANCTCAAGACAATACAGGCAAAATTATCATAACTCAGGACAACATGTTCGCTTCTCCAGGCAATATAGGCAACCCGATCAATTATCCAGACAAATGAGACATAATTTTTACATCGCACCAGAGCCGATGGAGGTAGACCACATCCAATAGACAAATTTTTAGCCACCCATCGACATGTCTACCGATAGTAGAACTCACTATAGGAAAGGTTAAAATTAGATGCTTGCTAGACAATGGCTCAACGAAATCATTATTAAATAAATTCTGTTTACCACAATATAAGAGAATAAAGCTAGAAAATATTTTTACATTTAATACCTTAAGCCGGCAAACACAAGTTAAATACGAAATTATAACAGAATTACCGAAAGAATGTAATGACGAAAACTTAATGAGC